TAATACTCTGCACACGTATTCACAATAAGTTGCATTTTATTTACTGGATGGTACTCTAAACCTCATTAAACCTCATTAAACCTCATTACCAAAGGGCAATTTAAAAATCAGGGGAAAAGTAGACAAATTCCAATGCCCGATTGGCAGAATAATAGCATGTACTATACTTAAATCCATCTCATTCTTTCCTCTCCCTCTCTCCCTCTGTATCTCGACCCTTCTCTCTCTCTCTCTGCATATCCAATGTGCGGACGCTGATACAGTGATGTTTTCTTCTTTGCATGCTATCTCAATCTTCTCTCCATTACTCCCCACTACAACAGGCGTAATACATCTTCCCTTGTTCTTCTAAATATGGACTCATGGGGCTTCTGCTTACAGTGTGGCTAAAAATAGGCATGCCAGAGCTCTAGAGCTCTTCCACCATTCCAGCCTCAGTCTCAGCCTGCCTGCCTCGCTGCCTGCCTGCCTGCCTGCAGTAGAGAGCTGTGAACAAACTCAAAATTCAGTCCTTGGGTCTTCATTTAGTCAAAGCATGCATGTGTAAGCTAACCAGCCAAGCTCTCTCTCTCCCCATCTCCTTCCTTTTCTCTTCATCTCTTCCCATTCTCCTACTTTCTCTCTTCATCTCTTTCTCTCTCTCTCTGTTTCTGTCTCTCTAGCTCTCACTGAACTCTTTACTGTATGTGGCTGCATGTGGAGATCTCTCTCTATCTCCCTCCCTCTATCTTCATCTCTTCCAATTTCTCCTGCTTTCTCTCCTCATCTCTCTTTCTCTTTGTTTCTGTCACTCTCTCTCTCTCTCTCTCTCTCTCTCTCCCACCCAACTCTGCACTGTACGTGGATGCATGTGGAGAGTCTTCCATCTCTTTCTCTCTCCGTCTCTCCCCGTCTCTCCCCGTCTCTCTCGTCTCTCCCCCACCCAATGCTTTACTGTATCTGGATGCATATGGAGAGCGGGGAGTCCATGCCAGGGAATTCCAGGTATGCTAATAGTCTCCCAGACATACACCCAGTGTAGGTTACATAGTCATAGGAAAAATATGTCTGGTCTCAAACAGAGATCAAAATTTTATAGAACCTATGCTAGCTCATGATTATAATTTATTGCAAGAACATTTACTTTTGTGACACACTGAAAGCTTCAATGAAATGCAAGTAAATTAGCAATCATATTTAAAATGGTCTCTAATTCTGAGTCATGAAAAGTTACCAGGTTTGCCTGAAAGATATCTTCTAGCTGTACACAGTGTATTTCTATCAAAGGTCTGAATGAGTAGACTACTAGTATTATGCACATTGCAAATGTGTGTGAATTTTAATGCACATGCCATGATAGTCTAGGTAAACAGACTTTAATGAATTTGCATCGCAATTCATGATAATGAAAGCACAAGCTCGAAGCCAAAAAAAAGGAAAGGGAAAAATCTAAACGTGAGACAAGCTGAAAAATGTTTTCTTTTAATATCCTCCATTATCTTATACGCTAACTCTCCCCCTCCCTCCCTTTCTCTCTGATTGGCTAGGGTTCACCTACACGGCTACAGCGGAGTAATTTCCTATCATTCTAGATGATCGCACCTTTACGATCTTTATAGCGTGCAGACCACTTGATTTTCACACAGGGGCAATTACCTTTACGGAAATTTCAATAGCATCCATATTTGGTACAAACTAAAGCTCAATTGTATCTACAATAAGATTTAATCTTTAATATATTCACCTTTATCCAGAATTGGAGGAATTTCTGATCGAACAGTAAAGGCAAAGCATTGTGCTTGATTTTGACAGCCTTTTATTAACCTGAAGTGGCAGTATTCTATAATTGGGTTTACGAACTGAGACTATTCAACTACTTGTAATTTTACATCCTTTTTTCACATACATATTTCTGTACAAGTATTACATGGACAAAAATACACTATTTGCAGATACAACGGCACAAAAAGGAACTGAAATGGTCCAATTTCAATGGAGATATTTTTAGGCATTGAAAGTTCCACACGAATGCCCTTGGCTTGTGAAAGGTCTGCAGAATTCATTCTTTTACAAAAATTCAAAATCTTTCAACTTTTGACACTGAAAACACAATGAGAATATAATAGAGTACCAGTGAATATGACCAATTCACTGCAATGGAATAGAGAGTTTGGCAATTCTTTTTAAAGTTATTGCAAGCACTTCTCAATATTCTGTCTTACTAAGATAAGATCGCACTGAATTGGGATATATATACACTTCATGTTATGTTGCAGAATGGTAAGCTTTACTATTTCATTGTTGGTTACTTTCTGAATTAATTGCCCTTGTTTATCTTTGTTTGTCTTCTTTCCATAACATAGTTAGTTCATGATGATCACTCACTCATTGGGTATGTGACTACTTTGAAACTTGGAGGCATAGTTGACCAACTTTGTAACACCCTTGCATGTTGAAGTAAATCAAGGTATCGCTAAACCAGCACTGCTAAGGTAACATATTGCTTCTTAAAATCTTAGTTCAAGATTATGAAGACCCGTTTCTGATATCTGCCCCCCCCCCCAACAGTTTATAGAATAGGTGAAATACTGCAGTCATTATAGTATTCTACACCCCTCTCTATATTCCTTCATTAACATTAGTGTATTGACTTGTATATCAGTGCCACCCTTCATACCCACTTTTAATGTAATTAATGACAAAGTAGCGAGTTGGCCCCCTCCCTCCCTCCCTCCTTCCAAGCCCCTGTTTACTGTAGTATTTGACAGAGTAACAAGTCACCCCCCTCCCCCCCCCCCCCCTTGCTCCCATTTATTGCATGTATGACAGGCAGGCTATCGAGTCGGTGAGAGGGAAGACCGGCGCGTGGAGCCAAGATAACGCACCCATCAGGAAGACCTTACGATCCGGCCAATTTCCAAACGCCCTCACCGCACAGGAAGCTAAGGGCTAAAGCGCTTCCACCGAACGCGTAATCAGTCCTGAAAACGCCAGCCCGACCAATTAGCAGGGGCTCTGCTCTCCTTTTTTTAAGTCTCCCTCTTTCCTTCTCTCTCTTTGAAAGCCTCTTGCTGGATTCGTCTTCTTCTGGTGTGACTCCGCCTCCCCTCGACCCAAGTCGTTCCTGCTGATTAGGGTCGGCTTGTCCGGCCTTCGGAGGGAAGAGTGTCAACGAGAGTTTGAACGCAAAACCCGGGCCTCTTATCGCTCCCTGCCAAATTAGTCGGTCACTTCCCCTCCTTATTTCTCTCTCTCTCTCGCTAGCCTGCCTCTCTTTTGACAGCTTTACATATTCTCTCTCTCTCTACCTCTCTTTCTCTACTTCTCTCTTTAAACTCTGAGGAAAGTCAGCTTGCGGGTGTCTGCACGTGGTGAGAGTGTTGTCCAGGAGTCTGGCGTGCGCACTGTTGCTGCTCCGGGACAACCTTATCTCAACTGGCCAAACTAGCTTCCAACTTCCAACTCTCACTCATATCGGGAACAGCTCCTGTCGCAACAACTTGTGACTTTTATCTTCTCCTGCACGGCTCTCGTCAAAGAGCATGAGCTTTCCTGCGCGTGCTGCCAAATTGGAACCTGCATGCAGAGGTTATCACAAGCCTGCAGGACTGAGAAGGGCAAATGAACTGGTCACTTCATAATTCAGTCCTCAAACTGGACGGTCGTGGTTCTTTTGCTCCAAATATGTCATTACTTATTCGATCCTTGAATAACCTCAGCCAGTGGAAGCCTGCATTTTGGCGACAAGATTAATTTCATCGCTTTTTCGAGCACCCTGTTTCATGGATCACTTCTGCAAATCAACTTCGCACCAGTCTCTAACTTCTTCTACTAGCAGTTACATAATCATCTGATGGAATGTTCTAACTCCTATCTGCACATGGTTCTTCATTCATCTTTACATCAACAGATACGTACATACAGCCTTCTAAAGCTGAGCTAATATGGATTCAGTGAAGATCAGCAGAGTGTCAACATTGGCTACAAAAGGAGGTAAGTAAGACTCTTCAAAATCTAGAAAAGTGTACACTACACACATAATCCAACCCATATTCAATGCTATAACGGCTGTGGAATAGACAACAATTAAGCTTACAGTGTTAAACTCTGAAAGAATTCCAATGAGTTTTTATAAATATTTAAGCTCTATACTTCATTATATACAATAAGCCTCTTGCATGATGATAATGAGCATAACTCAAAAGTAAAGTTCATTTTCATATCATTTTTTGCTTCTCTCATTCACCCCTATTCATAGTTTTGCTTAGCGCTTTATGAGGGTACACAAAGTCCTTCGGCAATTACAATTTCTGTTTATTTTACTCGAGTACACTACCCTCATAGACTCTCCATACAAGTATATATTGACTGAAGTACCTCCCTCCCTTTTTACCCAAAACAAATTTGAGCTTTCTGCAGTTTGTTTGTTCTGAGTTCATAAGAACTTTGAGTAGTCATTGTAAAATGATTTCAAAGTATCAAAATGGGGAAATAAAAGGTCATTTCATTCATTCAAGTTCAAAGCTTGAAACCATCATAACTAATTTCTGATCAAAGTTGTAATGTGGCTGCACACAGTGACTAAATCTTTCTTGAAATCGGATTAAACATGTTCAGAGAGCTACACATGTGATGGTAAGTATTTATTCTAACCTCTTTTTTGAGAAGATAAAGGATTGTGCAAAATTGACAGTACCTTCATAATACTCCTGTAGCATACAATTGAGTAATTTTCTCTGTGAAGCGAGTGTACATATATTGCAGGTAGTAGCCTTCAAGACTTCAATAAAACTTTGTAGTTAAAGAAGCAATAGTAATAAATATAATTTAACATAGACATTTGAAAGATGTGTGAATAGCATAGCTAAGAATGAGAAATACAATCATAAAGACAAGCAGTAACATCAGAAGCAGGTTTTGCTATGATGACCTGGAGCAAGACCACCAGTTCTACTTGAGAGTTCTACTGCCACGCCCACCTTGCCACGCCCACCTGGACACTCCCATCTAGACCATCTTCACCATATCCCATGCCATAACATACTTCTTTAGAATTCCATACTGAATCTCCTCAACTCTATGGAATGTAAAGAAGTATGTATTGAAACTGGGACCTCACATCACAGAACCAACTTCAAGACGAGATTAGAGGGTGCAGGTTGGAGCATTGCAAGCCAAAGGGGTAATGGAAATTAGTCAAATTACCTCTACCGACCACACCCAACCACACCCACAGCAGCATTGTGTATCGGCCGGTATTGAAGTTTGTACAACGATCACCATTCTTGTGACATTAAAAGCTGACCATACTGATACTAGTCAAAAGACGATCAGAATAGTTACCTCCTGTGCAAGTATACACGTACATCACCATGCATGGGCTGGCTGAAGCAGTACTTACAGAGACTTTTGTTCAAGTATTGGTTAGGATTGTCAGTAAATGATGAAAGTACAATATATAGAGAAGTTAGATCTGATCACTGGTAACAAATCATATGAAATACAGACTGAAATGTTTTGTATTGATTTGTGTAATGGGTTAGCTTTAATATCCTTGTTTCATTCATATGATATTCTTTATTCTTTATTATATGTTCATTTTGTTATTCTTTTGTGTATATTAGCTTTCTCTCTTCTCTTTGTTTTACATATGTCATTTTTGAGTTGTTTTTCCTATGTATTTATGTTCAATTCCATGTTTATATGATCTGTTTTATATTTGTAACACAGACTTGCTGAAAAGCAGTCTTTTTAGACTGATGTGAGTGTTACCATGATTAAATAAATTCAGTTCAATGAACTCAAAGAAAGTTCAAAACTAGAAAATTAATACTTCTAGGAACTTTACATCTACTGGCAGTATATTTGCTCATGCCCTTTACTGTCTATACTATTATATGCCATAGATCTGTACTAAAATATTACATGAGATACATGTATACAAATATTACGTTTAAATCGTTTAATAGCCAAATATCAACGGTTGATGGGTGTGAAGGGTAAAACCATTAAATTATATGTCTACCATTGTCTATTACAGTTTCTTTACCGGTAATGCCAATATTTGTATGAATCCAGGACATTGGAAACCCATTTTCTTATACCACATCAATCTCATCTGTTCTTCCAGGTTTAGGAGCGATTATCATAATGGAATGTTAGAGTTTAAAACTTTCTGTACATTCTTAAAACTGAAAGGCCTTTCCATGGCCCAGAGCCCCAGACATACCGTCGCTGTTTTCACGAAGTGACGGTAGTGAAAAAAAATTGCATTCACTTTGCGTTACGATTTCCCTCACTACCGTCACTTCGTGAAAATAGGGACGACACATGCATGTGTGTCTTAAGAAATTATAAAGCCCATGTACAGGGTATGTTCTTGTACATGTGCATGTACATGTTACAGTCATTCAAAATACCATAGCTACATTGGATTTATGATATAGTACATGCCATGTTCCTATAAATCTAACCAGTATCAACTCTATCATCAATTACAAACTTTGGTTAAAGGGACAGTTCTATACCATGTCTTCCTATTGTAATGCCCAGGCTCATCCTCATATCAACACCCCATTTTCACAGCCCCTCCCCCCCCCCCCCCTCCAAAAAAAGGAGAGAATCATGTTGAAACTACCAAAATATAGTGAACCATCACTTCATTTTGGGGAAGCAGAGGGGGTTCCTTTGTACATGTTTTATCTCATATAGTATATTTTAATGGCATGATACCAAATGGTTGATGATAGCTACATTCATAGTGTGCATGTATCTAACCCAAGGTGCCTACTATAAATACCCTCCACACACAATGCATGAACAGTGGGTGTTAACGTAATAAAGCATTACACTTTTGCTCACTCCCTCTCAAAAGTTACAAAACGAAAGGTAATATTTCTTTTGCAAGGAACATCAGCCCTGGTAGTGATTTTTTTCCTATTCACTTACAATTACCAACCATCATTCATACCCATTGTAATTTTTTTTTTTTTTGGTACTTTTCGTAACTCAAAGAATGAAAGGTTGGATGATTGAATTAGAGCCTTTGTTGAATACTTTTAGATGTGAGCTTTATTCTCAAGAAACATAAAGCAGGATAAATCATACTTTAAAAATTGCAAAACTTGGTATTAAAAGGGTATGAATAATTTAGTTGTTAACTATATGTGTCTATGGTATTGCTAAAGTTGTTCTGTGGGACTAGCATGATCACACCGCTCTTACCCTTGTCTATCGTTATAGCTTGTTACCCTTTTATAGCCATGTCCCTACATCTTGATAATCAGGTCTGGCACTTATCTTTATATATACAAACATTGTCATACAAACAATGCATCATGGGTTCTTTCACACTAGCCAAACATTGTGTACAGAAACACCACTAATCACTGTCTAGTATAGAAAGAGCTTGAGGAACACAAGCATGATGGAGATATATGTATGTCATACAAACAATGCATCATGGGACCTTTCACACTAGCCAAACATCATATACAGAAACACCACTTATCACTGTCTAGTATAGAAAGAGCTTGAGGAACACAAGCATGATGGAGATATATGTATGTCATACAAACATACATCATGAGACCTTTCACACTAGCCAAACATCGTATACAGAACTACCACCAATCAATATCTAGTAAAAATAACTTGAAGAACACAAGCATGATGAATAAGAATCAAAGATACATGCATGAGGGAAAAAAGGAGCTCCATTTTGTGTTACAGGAAGAAAGATTTGTTTTCTTTATATTTACAAATATTGATCAAAACTTATACCTTAGCTCCTTTTACAGGAGTAAATCTCTTCTTTCTTTCAATTTCTTTAGGATTTTCCATATTCAATACATTTACAGACCAATAAATCACTTTTGGCTAGATTAAGAGATCACAATCTTTCCCAACGTACGTGTAAAAGTACATGTACATGTATTTCCACAGACACGATTCCCTACACATCTAAATGAATATCCTGGCTTAAGTGTTTATTTTGCTGATCTTAAGTGTTGACATTATAATCAATATTTGCTTATTACTTGTCTATCAATTGAAAGGTGCCTTAATACTTAAAGTAAACACATCCTTCTCATCTAAGAAATACAACTGATTAACTCCAACAGTGATTAAAAACAAATGAGAGAAAATGTTAGCCTCTATTGCCTCTTTGCTGGAAATCAAGTACATGTAATTCGTTTGTATGTTTCATTTTTGTTTTGTTAGCACACTAGAATTCTATGATTTTGACAAAATATGGCATCTTTAATTCAAATTTAGGAAAATTAATCACAAGAAAATAACCTCCAGAAAAGCAGATTAGTTGGAATGCTTAGTTGGAGAATTAATTTTAATTCTGTAATTTAGGTACTTGGTGTGCCTATTTGCTTTTATATTGTGTATGTAGATACCCTAGTTACTTTTGTTAACCCTCCACTTCATTCAATTGTACAGTTATCATTTTGCACACTTTCATTTCATGTTTTGTGGAAAAATATTCAATTAAAAATGTTTTGATTTTATTTATCATCATGGTAGACAGGAAAAAAAGAGTAGCCAGGAAAAAATGGATGCAGAAATAAGTAGATACTTAAAATAAATGAAGTGAGAGGTGAAGAGAAGTAATTGACACAAACTGAGAATGTGTTTGGGGTTACCATGGGGACAGGGGATAGCATCCATGGTTAATGATCTCAAAGACTAGGGAGAAGCACAACAGAAGAGAAGAAAATGTAACTTGTCAACTTACGATCCTTTCACTACCAACCTTGGTAATGGAAATGGAATACAGCAACAATCAGAGAATGAGTTTCTGACCATTCAAACTGTACCCCAGAATAAGTTGCATTGTAATATCAGTTAGAATTACTGCCATCAGATTAATTTACCTGTATATCATTTGCCATAATTAATGTAATACACAAGCAGGTAAATTATCAACACAAAAGATTTCACATAATTTACAATTTGTCATTTTCAAAACATTTAATCTAATTTGAAGTGATGCATACTTCTGTACATGTGCAATAATCTAAATTGTTTCCAAGTAACCTTCAAATTATTTTTTTTCTTCCATATTTGTAATAATTATTATGCCTATGTGTCGTAAAAAGAGATATTCATGTACGGTGTGAATAAATCTTTGTAATAAACACACAATCATTTAATGTGAGGAATGAGTGGGAAGAATAAGGGGTTGATTATGAAGAGGATGGTGATTAGAAGACAGAGGAGGGAGAGAAAGGGAGGAAGAGGAGAGGAAGAGAGGAGGAAGAGAGGAGGAGAGGAGGGAGAGAGGAGGGAGAGGAGGGGAGGAGGGGAAGGGGGAGGAGGAGAAGGGAGAGGAGGAGAAGGGGGAGGAGGAGAAGGGGGAGGAGGAGGAGGAGGAGGAGGAGGAGAAGGGGGAGGAGGAGGGGGAGGAGGAGGAGGAGGAAGAGGAGGAGAAGGGGAGGAGGAGAAAGGGGAGGAGGAGGAGGAGGAGGAGGAGGAGGAGGAGGAGGAGGAGGAGGAGGAGGAGGAAGAGGAGGAGAGGAGGAGGAGGAGGAGGAGGAGGAGGAGGAGAAGGGGGAGGAGGAGAAGGGGGAGGAGGAGGAGGAGGAGGAGGAGGAGAGGAGAAGGGGGAGGAGGAGAAGGGGGAGGAGGAGAAGGGGGAGGAGGAGGAGGAGGAGGAGGAGGAGAAGGGGGAGGAGGAGAAGGGGGAGGAGGAGGAGGAGGAGGAGGAGGAGGAGAAGGGGGAGGAGGAGAAGGGGGAGGAGGAGGAGGAGAAGGGGGAGGAGGAGAAGGGGGAGGAGGAGGAGGAGGAGGAGGAGGAGGAGGAGGAGGAGGAGGAGGAAGAGGAGGAGGAGGAGGAGAGGAGGGGAAGAGGAGGAGAGGAGGGGAGGAGGAGAAGGGGGAGGAGAAGGGAGAGGAGGAGAAGGAGGAGGAGGAGAAGGGGAGGAGGAGAAGGGAGGAAGAGAGGGGAGGAGGGGGAGAGAGGGGAGGAGGGGGAGAGAGGGGAGAAGGAGAGGGGAGGAGGAGGAGAGAGGAGGGGAAGAGGAGAAGAGGAGGGAGAGAGGAGGGGAGAGCAGGGAGAGAGCAGGGGGAAGGAGGGAGAGAGCAGGGAAGAGGAGGAGAGGAGGAG